CATTTCATTAATTTGCAGATCAAGGAGGTGATATTATCCCCCTCTTACTCAGGCGAGGAAACTGAAGCTTTGCTTTCAGGAGCAGTTTGCTCAAGCCTCCACTGCTAGTCAGTGCAGTCTAGCTTCCTGTTGGGGACAGGACGCTGACTCAGAACTCCATCCCAGCCAGGAGCCCAGCCTCTTCATCCTGTTACTCAACTGCCTGCCCCTGTTTTTCCATTGTTACTTTTAGATAAGTAAATCAAACTCGGAGCGCTCTAAGTTTGGTTGGAGGGGCTCACTGTTGGGAGGGGTCCCTCAGGGCGGACTGTCTATCCATCAAAGTTAGTCTGGGCATGAGGCCAGGTGAATCAGAGGCCAGAGGGCAAGTGTAAGCAGAAGTGATGTGTGGAGACTGAGCCAGTGGACTTCAGCCCCATGGAGAAAAACCAGGAGTGACTGCTGGGAAGAAGTTGTAGAAACCAAGGCTTCCAGGATGTCCTCAGTGAGCACACACAGGTCACAGTCCTCAGAAGAGAGGCCATCCACGCAAATGAGACCTGCCCCCCAACTCCTCAGAAACCAGGTCTCTGCTAAGCCCGTAGCCAGAGCTCAGAAGACACCCACTTGCAGGGCCAGAGAGGAGGTCCTCAGGTCCGATAGTGGAGGGAGAGTTCCAGGGTCCTAGAGACCAGAAAGGCAGCATAGCCCAGTGGGTGAACCCTGACCTTGGAGACAGGGCCCTTGACCTCGTCTTTCAAGCTCAGCCGGCCCTCTTGGGCTGTGGAGGTTTGCTAAGCCCTTCATCCTGAGACCAGACTTAGCCATCTATAAAACGGGTATAATACTAATCTTGCTTATTTTGCATCGAAGACCTGCTCTGCTGAGCATGGAACAAGCATTACTCTTCAGAGAAGGCCTGTGAAGCAGGATTATTCATCCACTTTACAAAGGAAAAGGAAGCTCAGCGGTTAAGCCATTTGTCCAAGGTTCTAACGCCTGCACCCTCCCTAACCCTTTCCTGCCTCATCGCTGAGTGGTTTTAAAGAATCTCATGATCTTATGCAAATGGAAAAAACCTGTGAAGACCAATGATACCATCTTGATGTGAATCTACACTTAGATCCTAGCAAGGACCAGGACCCTGTAAAAACAAATGCTAGTTCTTCATCTCTGTCCTCTTGAGGTTGAAACCATGGGGCGGGCGGGGCGGTACTATGGAGACTATCGGTCATAGACTCATAGGATGACTGTCACGGCATTTCACACAAGGAGCCCTTGTGACATCCTGGGCTAGGTGTTGCACTGCGAACTTTGAGGTTGGTAGCCACCAGTCGCTCTACAGGAGAAAAGTGAAGCTACACAGGGCCAATGTGAGTTGGCATCCATTTGACGGCAGTGGGCAGGCAGCTGACGTTCTGACTCAGGGTGTGGGAGGGAGGGATCCCTAGGGGGACTCACCCCTGGGTGACTGGTCTCTTGGCTGGCTGACCATAAAATGACAGTGACGTCTAGGAGCCCACGGCAGACAAGGGTCCGGTGGTGATGTAATAGCGACCAGCCTTCCTCTGGAATAGGTGACAAGATTCTTTTCCCTCCTGACTCTTCCTTGGTCCTATCAAAGTCCTGGGTTTATCTCCATTAAAGAGGAAAATAGAGCAGGGGCAGGGCTGGGTCGGTGCTAAAAATCTTGCCTGCCCTTGGGAGGCGCAGGTTCACCTCTTGACCAAGGCATTTCAAGCACAGTCACCACCCCATCTGTCAGTCGTCCTAACACTGAATAAGTGTCAGTGGAGCTTCCAGACTACGATCAACCAGGAAGGTCTGACAAGTTCCTTCTGCTCAATCAGCCAGTGAACATGCTACAGATCCCATTAGGCACCGGGTTAATGTGCATTGGAATCAACTCAAGAGCAACTAACAAAAACAATGCAAGCTCACTAAAGTGAAAATTTTCAGCTAAGAAAATCAAGGTCTAATTCCACCCACCAAGATATCCAGGGAGCCCTGTCGGCCTGTTGGGTAAAGAGTTGGCTGCTAAGTGCAAAAGTCAGCAGTTCTAATCCACCAGCCACCCCATGGGAGAAAGATGAAGTTTTCTACTCCCCTTAAGATTTACAATCTCATCCCTTAGGGGGACAAAGAACAGAAACATGGGTGAATGGAGACCGTGGACAGTGTGAAATATGAAAATAAAAATAATTTATAAATTATCAAGGGTTCATGAGGGTGGCAGGGTAAAATGACTTATTAATCAAAAAAGATGTATAGTCTCGGAAACGCAGGGCAGTTCTACTCTGTCCCATAGGGTCCTAACGAGTCACAATGGGCAGTGAGAACCGATATAACCATTCTGGGCATTTTGGTGTTTTGCATTTCCAGAGATTTCCCTCTCATTGCACGTTTTAAAAAATTTGTACTGTACTGTAGATTTATACCCACTCCTCATTTATTGAGATGGTTGGGTTCCAAAGCACAGGGGGTTATGTGAACACTGGTGGTGTGTGTAACTGGACGACATTACCAAACCATCAGATGCAGCTATCAAACTGTTGACACACAACCTTAAGCAACATGAGTACTGGGACTGTTGGTAAACTCTTCTACCTCCATTAGGGCTGTCCTGGCACCTGCATGGCTCCAGTTCTTTCTCCCCTCTACCAACCAGCGACAGCCCTAGAAGAAAACCAGGAAGCTGTGGGCACGAGAGGGTGTGCAGGCTGTGGTTCAGATACCGCCTCCGACGGTGGTGTGCACCGTGAGGCAGCGCTGAACTGCTTGGTGCCCCATGGCAGAGTAGAACTGCCTCTTCCGTCTCCAAGGCTCTGATCTTTTTTTTTTTTTTAAGTTTTATTAGCACATAATTTACGTAGCATACAATTCATTAGTTCAATCATTCAATCATATCAAGGAGAATTGTACAATCATTACCGCATCAATTTTAGAACATTAAAATGAGTTGTGGGATCACCGTCAGCCCCAAGAGTGTGCTCTTGATGGGAACTGATCTCCAGGTCTCTCTCCCGCAGAACAGCTGGTGCGTGAGAACCGCCAACCTTTCAGGAAGCAGTGGGATACTCAGCTGCAGCGCTGCAGGACAGCGCAGGACCCTGTGGCCACTGGGTCAGTCCATTTAGTGGAGGAGCCTCCTCTCTCAGGCTGACTCTACCAAGCCTGCCCTGTTCATCTCAGGGCAGATGGTGCCACAGCAGAGGCATAAGGGAGGCCCCTGGCTTCCCCGTGAGGAATCTCATGCATGCATTAGCAGGCAGATTGAAGGATGCAGGCAGGGTTCCTGGTCCCCCTCCCCAGGGTGATGGGCTGAGCCGCTTCTCAGTACTTAGGGCTGGAGGAATTGTTTCCCAGCTGTTTCTTTTCAAATCACGGAGCTGACCAATTGAAATGGGGGAGGAACAGGTTGGGTTGCTTCTCCCTCCCACCTCTCCCCTCCCCTTTTAGGCCGCGAAGGTCGAGGGTGCGGGACAGAGGCGGCAGCCCCTGGCTTGTAGATCTCTGGTCAATGCTGTGTTCTAAGAAGGAAGCGACAGGCAACAAGGCTTGCATATTCTGTCTTTCAACTTGTAGGGACTTTAGCAGCAGGAGACAGAACTTTCTGAGTGATGCTGGGAGCTTGCAGGCTGTGCCTTCGGTGAATTTCACACCAGTTGAGGTGAAGGGCCACCAGCCCCTGGACACGGGGAGGGAGGAGGCGTTCCCACCCATTTTAGAACCAAGGGCCCAGGAGGGGCTGGAACGTGGGAAGCCCAGAAAGCTCACTGTCCTCTCTAAAATTAGAAAAAGGAAATTGCCAGCCCTACCTTTCCAGGCCAAGGGAGCTGAGGTCTTGAGGGGCCGGCCCACGGCTTCCAGCTTGGGCGGTTACCCCGCCCCGGGAGCTCGGGTCCCCCACCTCCCCGCAGCCCGCAGCTCTCTGCTGCACTCAAGAGGCTGCAGCCCCGTCACCTGGCAGCCCCAGGTGCTGCGTAGGAGCTGCCATGGAGACGGCCCCTGGGTGAGCGGAAAGAAGACTGCCGCTCGAAGCTTTGTGGACCGAGAGGACAGAGTAGCATGCCAGGCCCTGCAGGCCAGTCTGCCCGACCACCCTAGCGCCCTGACTGACGGGAAGCCCAGGTGGGTGCCCTGGGTGCAGCCAGGAACAAAGGAGGGAGGGAGGCGGAGTCCTGGGAGGAGGCTCTGGAAGGCTGATCTGGGCACTGGGCAGAGAACCCTGCCCAAGGCTTTCAGGCCAATGGAGGAAGGCTTAGCAGGGACGCTGGCCAGGCCACGGCTGGGTCCCTGCAGCTGGACTGGATGGGGGGGGGGCTGGCCCGAGACCCCATAGGGAGAAGAGAAAGGGCCTGGAATTTTTTCCAGAGGAGGTGCGAAGTGGAGAGCTAGTGCACTAGTCAGGGAAGCGCAAAGGTACCTGGAGCAAACGGGCACTCAGCTTCTTTCCCTGGGGCTCCGAAGGGGCAAGGGTCCAATGTCGGGCAGAAGTGGGTTTTCCGTCTCTAAAGCTTCGGCTGCTCACCCCCCTCACCCCACCCCCTGAAGCGCCAGCTCATGCCAGTGCTCTACACCAGCAGTCCTCAACCTGTGGGTCATGACCCCTTTGGGGGTCGAATGAACCTTTCACTGGGGTCGCCCAATTCATAACAGTAGCGAAATGACAGTCATGATGTAGCAACAAAAAGAACTGTATGGTTGGGGGGTCACCACCACATGAGGAACTGTATGAAAGGGTCGGCCTGAGGAAGGTAGAGAACCACTGCCCTAGAGGCTGGGGGCTCAGGTCTTCATCCTGATGGAAGGGGGGCACCGGGAGGGAATTGGGCCCTTGGTCTTTTGAACCCTACGTGTTCTCACCTGTAAGATGTGGCCGATCATCTCTAGCCCCCAGAACACTCGGTCGGGGCCACGCATGGGGATGGGGCTTAACGGGTATCTCCCTTTCCCTTCCTGCCGGGCAGCTCCCACCTGGCATCCCGCGCCCCTCCGTGCGTCTGTCCATCCGTCTGAGGATGGCCGAGCAGCGAGGCCGGGAGCCCGAGGCCGAGTGCCCCGTCTGCTGGAACGCCTTCAACAACACCTTCCACACCCCCAAAGTGCTGGCTTGCTACCACTCCTTCTGCGTGGAATGCCTGGCCCACCTCAGCCTGGTGACTCCGGCGCGGCGGCGCCTGCTGTGCCCACTCTGCCGCCAGCCCACGGTGCTGGCCTCGGGGCAGCCCGTCACCGACCTCCCCACCGACACGGCCATGCTCACCCTGCTCCGCCTGGAGCCCCACCACGTCATCCTGGAAGGCCGCCAGCTCTGCCTCAAGGACCAGCCCAAGAGCCGCTACTTCCTGCGCCAGCCCCGGGTCTACACCCTGGACCTTGGCCCCGAGCCTCCCAACCCCGCCCGGCCCCCGCAGGACACGGCGCCTGCCACCGTGGTGGCATCCATCCCGAGTCACTACTCCCTGCGGGAGTGCGTCCGCAACCCCCAGTTCCGCATCTTTGCCTACCTGTTGGCCGTCATCCTCAGTGTCTTGCTCCTGCTCATCTTCTCCATCTTCTGGACCAAGCAGTTCCTCTGGGGCATGGGGTGAACACACTGCACCCCAGCAGGGAACCAAGCCCTCCTCGGTTGCTGCTCAGAGACTCACCCTTGGGGCTGGGCAGACGGTAGTAGTGTTCACGTTACAGCCCAGAGATCACCTGGACCAGGCGTCTGCTCCTGGGAAGAGTGAGCATCCCAAGAGCCCCTGAAAGCCAAAAGGCTGGCAGAGGCTGCAGAAGGGCCTCTGGGCACAGACCATGGGGTCAGGGAAGGGCAGAGAAGCTACCACGGAGCTACACAGCGGGCTGTGCCACAGGACTGGACAATGGGTCCACGGCCTGCCCAGCCCAGCCCTAGTTGCTTTTCTCCCTGGAGCTGCCTTGACCTCTGTTCACAATGGTGGGCTCGGTTTTTATTACACTTTGATGATTGTAGGACGTGAGTTTGTCCTTCTGTGGGCAAGTATGTCTCCCCGGTCCCTTTCTCAATGGGTGCCTCGCCACCAGCCTGTGAAAGTGGTCTGCATCTCTTCCTTCACTGGCGCACTTTCATTCACTTGAGCCCCACCTACTGGGCTGAATGGGAACTGGGTTATGGAGGATAGGGTAATCTGTGACCAGAGGGTGGCAAAGAGCCCTCACCAGCAGGGCAGGATCATTCATTCTGCTGCTGCTTGTACAGAACTGCTGGGCAGCATGTGGTTGATGGAGCCTGTGATTTTAAATGTGATTGGGGAAAGGCAGGGAATGACAGAAGTTCATGGAAAAATCCCATTGTCCTTCAGTTCCATGTTTTACTATCCCCTCATACAGAAAGTTGCACGAAGTCGGGGTCAGCGGATTAAAAGAAATCTGGGAACTAGAGGGAGGCCCTTTTCTTCCTCCTGGTAAGTGCCAAGACCCGGCTGAGTGTGCTAGGCTAGAGCTGCCTCCTGTGCGAGGCACCGCCACATCACTCTAGCATTTGAAGGGAAGCTGCTGCTCCCATCCCAGCAGGCAGGGGAGACGCTGGTTTTCACTTTGCACCGGAACTAGGAAGCAATGAAAACTACCCTAGAAGTTGGGCGTTTGTGCTGGTTACACCACCAGCAGAATCGGAAAAGCCAGTTTTGGGCTGCTTTTTTTGTTGAGTAAGCTTTGAGAGTCCCAAAACTGAGCTGGGTTAATTCGCTCTAAATATTTTGTGAGCATAATGGAACTAATGTCTAGAAATCTCTCTTAAGGGTCAATGTACAAGGTATTTCAAAATACATGAAGCTCATATTTAGTAAAGTCAAACTGTTGTATGGTCCAATGTGAAGAAAATTTCCCAATTACCTAATCTGCCTACATATCCCGCTAGGGAACTAGCACCTACCTCTATTTATGCCATTGAAGATAATTACACTAAAGCTGGGACATAGCCTCCCCACTGACTTAATTTCTTTACATATCCTTGTTCCTTAACGTTGTAGCGAGTCAGGTAGTGATCTCAGCCCGTCATCAAAGACGCATGGGGCTTGGGAAGGTTGGGAAGGCGCACTGGCGTCTGCATTCCAGGAAGCCCTACCATGAGGCTCTCTGAGTTGAGCTGCTTTGTTCAAGGGCACAAGGCTAGTGAGTGGTGGAGTCCTTTCAGTCCAAATAGAACCTAGACTCTTAAAAGAGGCTGGGATACAAATGAGATATGAGTGGTGGGCTTTTTATTTGGATTCATAGCAACCCTGCAGGACAGAGTAGAATTACCCTCGTGGGTTTCTGAGACTAACTTTTTTTTTTAATTTCAAAATTTTTTTTTAAGTAAATGTAAATTAAAAATTGAGTCATTAACCATGCTTGTGTTTTCTGTTTAAATTTCAACAAATAATGTTGACAAAACTAGCAATTAATAGGAGTGGAAAGCCTCAAGTTTCTCTCACGGAGGAGTGACTGGTAGTTTCAAATTGCTGACCTTGGGGTGAGCATTGAGGCATGGACGGACACATTGAACATTATAGTGTCTTCCATTTCTGCATTCAGAAACTCTGACCTTTGAAGTACCAGCCTCCTATAGGTGGGGTTGAACATGGCAGCTCAAGAACCGCAGTTGGCTCTTTAGGTACATACATGTGGCTCTGGAGAGCATGGTGATCACATTTGTTTGTAAAAATGTTTATGGCTTTTGAGTATTTTTTAAATGGTTGTGGGGGACAGATTGGCTCTTCCATCTCAGAAGTTTGCCAAACCGTCCTAAGCTTCTGTGGGAATGTGTGGGACCCTCTTTGGTACCCCAGTGAAGGGGTGGCTTATGGTCCTGATGGTTAGGTCTGTTAAGGCTTCTACATATGGCACTTAAGACAGTTTCACACACCTTACTGTCATCTGTCCCCAAATGCAAATGGTTATCCTGTTCAGAATCACTACAGGCCCTGCATAAGTTCCTCAGGTAGAAGTACAACCGACACCCTTTAGCATGAACTCGGTCAAAAGAGCACATTTCTTATGGAAAGCAGGGAACACTGGTTGGACTGATCTTCTCTGGCCAGTTGTCAATATACTCAGAGCTAAAAACCCATTGCCGAGCTGACTCAGACCCAGAGACTTGTAAGGCGTAGTAGAACTGTCCCACTGGTTTCAAAGGCTGTCATCAGTACTGGTGTCCTCTACCCCATCTTCCTCCTGTGGAACAAATGGGCTCAAACCACCGACTGGTTGGTTGGCTCCCAGCCAAATGTTTTAACCCCTGCACCACCAGGATGCATATATACTGTTAAGTCCTATTAAATCTTTTCATTAGGATCACAAACTCTCTGAGAAAAGACTTCAAATCCTGGCTCTTCTTACTAGCTGGGTAATTTTAAGCAAGTTACTAACCCGGGATCCTCAGTTGTCTGCTGGCCTCCCCATTGCCATGAAATACTTAGTTTCTTGGTCAACTGCTTTTTCATAATGATGTCTTTTTGCAGTGATGACATTCCACAAGACACTGATTCTGCCCACGGTTCAGGTGAACTGCTTCTTACCCAAGTGCAGCCTCTCAATCTCTCCAGCAAAGATCTGAGAAGGGGCAAGTCAAAGGAAACGAATCGCGTAACCTTGGGAAATTCTGGCCACCTTGGTTAGCATACTGTGTCCAAACTGCACACAAACACAGTCATGTGTATTATTTTAAAACTAGTACATGGACACAGTTGAGTACTGTTACTGTAAAACCAGTACACAGGTAGCAGAGGCGCCCTGGTGGCCTAGTGGGTTCCCTGTTGGGCAGCTAACCGCAGGGTCAGCAGTTTGAAACCACAGGCTTCTCTGTGGAAGGACAGAGCTTTCTACTCCTGTAGAGTTATCAGAAACCCACAGGGGCAGCTCTACCTTGTCTTACAGGGTCACTCTAGTCAGATCGAGCTATGGCAATGCGTTTGTTTGTCTTACCAGAGCGCTCAGTAAGTATGCAGAAATTGGAGAAAGGAACTTTTCAGATGTGTTAGATCCCAAACCAAAGAATGGGGATCTCTATAGTTCCATGGCTAGGATTTGAAATGATTTCACTCTAGAGAAGAATTCTTTGAAGGGCACTTTTCATAACAGGATTGAACTCTGTAGTAAGGGCAAAATAAATGGGGACAATTTGTTCAGGAATACTCACTAGGTTGTTTTTTTTTTCACTCAGCATGAAGGATACTACCTTTTAATTATCCAACCGAAAAAGCTCACACAATAAACACCATATTTTCTTTCTATGGATTTCTTTGAATCCTGACACGGTGGCCTGTGGGTAGCACCAAACACACAGCCAAGTGAGACCTGGTCTGACAAGGCAAACATCCAGGGCGGAGCTTCCGGACGCGCTGGCATCCCCAGTGAACCCAACAGGAAGAGGTGAAGTCTGCTTTCCTGCAGAGCCATCGGCACCCTCACGGCCGGCTGCTGCACCCCTTCTCACGGTGGAAGAGAGGCCGAGTTGTGTCCAGGCAGGCACTGTTTCACGAGTGTGCGGTCAGGGACCCCCTTCCTGGAGGGATTTGAGGAAACAGAGCAGCCCCCTGGCTAGCTGGGTGCCAGGCAGTCCTGCCGCATGTGCCACGGCACAGAGAGCCACATTTCAGGAATGAAAAAGGGAGGAAGTCAGTCACAGTCCTGAGTATTGTGTGGGAGGCAACAGGGCATTCAAATGAAGGATTATAAAAACGAGGTTTATAAAATTCATGCCAGGGCCTGAAGATGAAAATTAAAATTTCAACAAGGGGGGACATCATCCCCTAGGGACTAGGCTGCCTGCCAGGAATGAGGGCTGACATTAAAATTCTACTGAAGGTCTATACACATGGTAGGTGGTTCAAACCAAAACCAAACCAGACCAAAGAACATGATAGGACAGAACACACCAATCCTTTCTTTTGAAGAAAATGGCCCTTAATGTAGAGCTTGATGTTCCAGAGTCCTGCGTCCACAGCCTCGTCTATTCAGCCGTCCAGAGCTTGAAGGTCCTGTCATATGAGCAAGTGGCTATGAGCTGCCCGTCGGAAGAGATGTCCAGGCCCATCACTTTGCCCTCATGGCCAGCCAGAGTCTTCAGGGGGGACCAGCCTGGGTGGGTCCAAACCTTGGCCGTGTTGTCGTAAGCGCCAGTGAGCAAGAAGCTCCCGTGGGTAGCTACAGGAGGGAAGGAAAGCCGCTTGTGGGACTTGAGCATTCAAGAGAGTAGGAACAAGAGCACAAAGATCTTCATGCAAAAACCGGCCTATGTGAAAGTGGGGAGTGATGACACCATTAGAGCACCGTTAAACCACCGTGGCTCATAAACCAGCCTGACCTACAACCTGAACCTTCACAGTCTATCGCCCATGGTCGTTCCCGTCCGATCTGTCGTTCATGTTGTGAAACAGTCAGATGTTTCACGATTGTCATCAAGGTGAAATTTGGGACAATAGAACAGTTGGAATGTCATTTCCACATTCAGGAAAATCCAACACTGGTTCTCTGGTCCCACCGGGATTCCAGCAGAAGGAGAACACTAAAAGGCAGACTTCAGGGGAGAAATATTTTTAAGGTCTTTGGCTCTTCCCCCGATAGACAATCTGTTCAGAATAGTAAATTCTTCCATGGAGAAAAGAACCAAGCTACACACTCATGGAAGTCTACTTTCTGGCGATGGGAGCCATCTCGGCCTAAAGACAGGGCATTGAGGTGGTCATTGTAATGCGCTTCTCTAACAGTCTAAATCTCTCCTGTGCGTGCCATGTCCTGGTTAAGCTACAGCTGGACCTGTATTCTAGGGTCGGACAATCTCAACCTCTGTTTCTACTCAGGTGTCTCGTGATTAGGTTTCAAACAGGAGGGAAGCTTACGCTCAAACTTGACTCCAGTCACCAAGTTCTGATGGGCAGGGATGGTGTAGACACAGCGCCGTTGTCGCAGGTCCCACACTTTGCAGGTGTTGTCACCACTGCCCGTTGCGATGTGGTAACTGTGGACGAGGCGTAGTATCAACACGAGAAAGACAAAGACTTTCTTCTGACCAGGAACCCTCCCTACCCGCGTCCAGGGAGCTCCTTTTACCCATTGGGGGAGAAGGTGATCCCATAGATTTCCTTCAGGTGGCCCTCTAGGAACATGATGCAACGTCCCGTACGCAGGTCCCAAACTCGACCGAAGGCATCCAGTCCCCTAAAACAGTAATTTATAAACAAACGCTTGGAATCATGTGTCCACGGAAGCAGGTCTACGTAAGAGGTGGGACTACTGACCGCCCTGGCTATGTGGAAGAGGCCTTACCCAGTGGCAGCCAAAGAGCCATCTTGATGGAAGGCAATATCATACACACCCATGCTGTGGCCCTCCTGATGCAGGATCTCCTCTTGAGCCTCCAAATCCCACAAACGCCAGGAGCGGTCATAGCTACAAAGAGCAAATTAACCATCAACTAGCAGGCACGTAACTTCCTACAATGTACAAGGCTCTGTAAATAGTTGTAACTGAAATTACACCTCTGAAACCACTCCTACAACCATATTAACGAGAAATTCCTTGTGCATCAACAACTAAACCTGTGCTATCGCCTGGAAACCAGATGCAGTTCCCGTAAGGTCCAGTGGTGACTTCAAGGGCAGACTGCATCAACACTGGCCTCGCAGATTCTGCCACCTTTCTGCCCTCAGTCCCTGTTACGTCCCTTCACTCACTGAACTCATTCCGTTATAGCCTGGATCTTAAGCAAACAGAAGCCACGTCCTGCTTCCGCAGAGCAGTTGATGGGTTTGAACCACAGGCTTTCTGGTTAGCAGCCAAACTCATTAATCCCTGAGACCAGGGCTCCTTGACACATTTTATAGGACTCCAATGATGTGGGACACACACAAACCAATCACAGATCTATCTATAAACAGAGTACAGCAGGAGCCCAGCACGTAGGTGGTTAAACAATTTTCGTGAGGTCCTCAAAGTAATTACACTGTATTCTTCAGCTATATCCAATCCACAGTATGTAAATTATACCGCAGTTCTCAGGAGCCCTGCTGGGGCCTTGGAATAAGTGTTGGTCTGCTAACCACAGTTGGAGGGTAGGCTCATCAACCACTTCATGGGGAGAAAGACGAGGCTGTCTGCTTCTATAAAGGTTAGTCTTGCAAACACTCTCTAGGGCCACTATATGTTAGCTTCAACTCCATGACACCAGGTTTCTAATAGACTCTGGTCTCACTGAACTTAAAAAACAAAACCCCCAAAACAAAAACTCACTGCCATCGAGTCAGTGCTGACTCACAGCAACTTCCCTGTGGGTCTCAAGACTGTAACTGCTTTACGGGAGCAGAAAGCCGCTTTCTCCCTTGGAGCTTCTACTAGTTTTGAACTGCCGACCATGCAGATCATAGCCCAACTCATAAACACAGGGCTCTTGTCACTGAACTTGAGAAGCAAAAAGAGAATGATTTGTAAGCAAGAGATGTGCACCCAAACACAAGCAGCCCTTTACTATTGCTCAAGAAAGAGAAAAATGAAAACTCTAGTTTCTAGGCCAGTAGAAACTTTGAAATTTCAGATGCACTGCAATTTCAAAGCAGACTCTTAACCCTTAAAGCAGAGGTTCTTAACCTGTGGGCCACAACCCCTTCGGGGGCCGCCTAATACATCCTGTATATCAGATAATTACATGACGGTTCTTAACAGTAGCAAAATGACAGTGATGAAGTAGCAACGCCAATAATGGTATGGTAGGGGGTCACCACCACCAGAGGCACTATATGAATGGGTCGCAGTCTGAGGAAGGTGGAGAACCACTGCCTTAGAGCACCATGTTTTCTTTTCTGGTTCTAATTCACTGCAGTTGAAGATCTCTGCTCTAATACTGCATCTCACCGGTACGCGCAGGGATAATTATAACAAGCTGACAGGGTGCCGCTGGGCGGCTGTGACCCTGTGACAGCAATACGGCTCACCAGGTGGTGCCCAGGAAGCGTCCTGAGGGGTGCCACGTCACGCGGGCCACGCGCACTGTATGGCCCTCGATATCTGCCACCGGTTCATCACTGGAAAGGAAGCAAGCACAGCACAGCCCATAAACATCTTACAGCCACGTAACACTGACTCACTGCTGTGTACAGGCACACCGTTCTATACCACGCCAAAGGCTAATTTGTAACGAAACCTCAGGTTTGTTAAAGCAAGGCTAACAAGAATTCAGTCACTCCCCAAGGTTTTTAAGACATTGGGACTATTTCATATGCCCAATGGGCAAGAATGCCCACTGCAGGCTGATAAGCAGTCTTTTCTACTTTAACTCACTGTGTTACAATAAAACCCTTAATACGGTGCTATTTAGGGTCATGGAAGATTAAGGACACTTTAATATAATAACCAATATGGTCCGCGCCGAAGTACAGTGGCGTCTGGATTCTAGAAAGAAAACACACTCCGGCGGAGACGTGGCGATGGAAAAATGAAACCATTTTGGTGTACACACGACAGATAACTCCTTCCCAAACTTGTGCCTGTTCAAGGACTCAAATGGAAAAAGAAACTCCTAAATAGAAGCCTTGTCGTCTTTCCGTGGCCATTAAATTCTGCTACCCAGCAACCAGCGAAAGACCGGAGCCACCAGCCAAAGGAAATAAACAAGAACCCTAAAGAGGGCAATTAAAAAGGGAGCGTTGTCAATGTGCCTACGTAGACCTAATCGGAGCCCCAGGGGAATAAATATTGCTAAGTATTACCAAAGCCAATTAAAACTTGCACTACTCACAGGTAAGATCCTGTCTGGCAAGGAATACAAATACTAATTAGCTTAAAAAAAAAGAAGAAAAATCCCGTCATAAAAGTCTTTGTGTTTTCCCAGAGAAAGAAAACCAAACAATTGAATCTGGGATGTCTTCTGTTCAACAATTCCCAAAATTTGGGAGGGAACAATACACTGATCATAAGCAGCACATAAAAACCAGAAATCACTGCAGGTCAGGGTTGAGGCTGCTGGGAGGAGACCTCACTTCTTTGGCAAAGCTGCCAGACGGAGCCTCACTGTCCTCTCCCCTGGCGCTGTTTGCAAGGAGCAGGCAGACCACCGACGGCATGATCTGCCATCAATCTCCCAAGTGGTTCACTCTCCAAGTCAATACACTGTGTGAGAGCACGGGAGGGTCTTCCCTGAATGACCAGCTGCACACAGTAGCACCTGGTCCAAATTTAACATGTAAAAAAATCTGGCACAATTTCTCTGGTGACAAAAGGACTAGAAAGATATTTTCCATTCTACGTTCACAGTGTTGCCTTGACGCTTGAAGCATTTCTTGGGTCACATGTCAGGATTTCACTTCCTAAGGGCCAATCAGGACAGTGGTTTGCTTTAATGATCATATACGGACAGCAGAATGGTGTAAGTACCTGTCCAGGCTCCAAAGCTTCACAGAACCGTCAGCAGCACATGAGGCCAGGTTGACATCCTTCTGGTCCAAGGAGACTGTGGATTTGGGATGGAATACAATCGCTCCGACGTTTGTGTTATGGCCTGAAAGAATGTCAGAGATGAAAGTTACTGGTTCTTGCTTCCTTATCGTGAGTGCAGTTGGGTTTTTGATTTGTGACTTGTAGAGATCCCATGTGACAAATTAGCGGTGATCTTTATGGGAACAAATTGCCAGGTCTTCCCTCCACAGAACCGCTTCATGGGCTTGAACTGCCAATCTCTTAGTTAGCAACCAAGGGCTCAAACATCACACTCCCTGGTAACCTGAGTGCAAATACGAAGTCTGGTGAAGGATACAGGTACGTCGTAGAGAGCTGCAGGAAACGTGCAAATAGAGTGAAAGGGACGATTCCACTCTGAAACCATGAACTATTTAAATCATATATGTGGAATACATATGGAACAGAACACTTGTACAGTGTCAGCATGTTCATCACACCACTCAAACATCACCCTTGGAGAAGCTCGGGGGGCCTCCAGGCAGGAAACCAGTCTTCCTTTCCTCTCCTCTCACCTGCCTTCAACGGCCGTTACCAAGCACTGGTCTCTATTCATTTGCCTATTGGAGAGAGTTTGCCCCTCCCTCCTCCATAACATGAGGCCTCTCTCGTGTTCTATCTTCTCTTTAGGAGGCCCGACGGAGCTACAGAAGAGAGCTTTCAAACGAAAACCTTTCAAGAATATAACCCAGCCCATGTGGATTCCATCTCTGCTACTGCCTCATCATTTATTAAACTATTCTTGCCATACCGAATGGACTTAACCTCCTTGTTGAAAATCAAGTACAGGTTCACTTCGGACTCTCAGTTCTATTCCACTACATGTGTCTCGCGGCAGCAGCAGCAGCAGAGGGCTCTAACTGTTGTCGCTGTGGGCTATGCTTTGACACACTTTGTCCTTCCTTCCCAAGGTCGCTTTCTCTGGCTAACCAGGACTCCTTGCAGCTCCATCTCCATCTGAGGACTGGCCTTTTCGTTTCCACAAAGAGGGCTGTTGGGATTTTGGTGGAGAATAGTTGAATATCTACACTACTTATGTGGTTTTGACATCTCAGCAATAGTAAATCTACGAGTCTGTGAGTAGGCTACATTTTAGGAAAAGGAAGACCCACACGACGGCTGAAAGGATCAACAGAACAATGGTGCCCACACACGGGAAGACTCAGTGAAGAAAAAGGATGAAGCGATGACACACCTCCTGACTCGGGCAAACCTAGAGGGTCCTGTGCTGAGTGCAACAAGTTCATCACAAAGCGACAAATACTGTGTGAGCTCAGCACTTTAAAAAGTCAAGACATGCGTGACTGACTTCAGGGTCACTTGAGAGCAGTCCCGTTTTAGCTCGGGCAAAGGGAGAAGCAGTGCACACTGTGGATGAAGCCAGCCTAGACCGACGAAGGCAGTGTGAGACACTGCATCTGAGTCCACGGTAATTACGATCACACACACAATCCTTCAACAGTAGCAACAGTAACTCATGAGTGGATACACTGATGGCCAAATGAGGACACGCACCGACAGAGGCAGGGGATTTCTACATGTGTACTTGAGCGGGATCTAAAAAGCTCAAGAAAAATGGAATCGAAAGGTAAGTGGAATGCTTCCATTAACTTTTTGAAGCCCCTCGAATACCTATCCACGAAGATAGGAGAGCACGGCTACGGTACGAAAACGCCTTAACCAAACACCGGGACTGACCTGAATCTCAGGGCCATAGTCTCGGGGGACACTAGACAACGTCCTATATCCTACTCTGGAGTGTGGCAACTGAAGCCTTACAAGTTGTGAGCAGCCATCCAAGGTGCTACTATCGGCCCTTCCCTGTCTGGAGCAGAGCAGAGTGTAGAAAGTCAAAGACACAAGGAAACAACAGTCCAAAGGAGTCGTGGACCAAGGGAACACCAGCCTGTAGGACCCTGAGACTAGAAGAACTAGATGGTGCCCAGCCACCACTGCTGACTGCTGGAAAGGCTAACAACAGGAGCCAGGCACAGAGTGGGAGGAAACTGCGGAACAAGGTCCCAGAGCATAAAAATGACCAGGTCTACCGATAAAAGAGACACTGCCGAAGCCCCTGAGAACAAGGCCCCTAGGCACCCTGCAAGCTTAGACCTGACCCCACGTCCTTGGTTCAACTTTCAGCCTACAAGGTGAAACGAACATCAGGGAGGTATGTACTCCTTAGAGCAGACCACCACACAAGGTGAGAAGCGTAGTCTTTGCCCAGAGGTAAAGCTCAGCAGGCAGGAAGGGAAAGCACAGCGGGACCTGGGAAATGCAGACAGGAGGCGGGAAGAGTGCTATGACGTCGTGGGTATTGCAGTGAAAGCCCGGAGCAAATGCATGTGAGTTGAGTGGAAAATCAATGTGTTCTGTAACCGTTCACCCAAATCACACTTAAACAACCAGAAAACCAAAAGACGCTGGTTTTTCTCTGATCACAAGGATGGAATGTCCTGAGTCCTTATACACATAATTTTTGTTTAGACTATAAAATGCCAGGGCTTGCTGGCACAGGAGAAAAATTAAATGTGTAAGGACTCATTACATTCCATCCTTGTCAGAGAAAAATAAACCAAGAATTTATTTTGTGTGTGCTGGGCCCACAGGTCTGGGCCGGAGCACCCAGAAAACTGTGTGTGCTTGTTTTGAGCATCGTCTCAGGCAGCGTTTTACTGCTCGACCGAGCTCACTTGGGAAAGATTAAGAGTTTAAACATGATTCGAACTTACCTCGAAGAGTATGAAGGAGGTTGCAATCGGGAACAGACCAGAGCTTGCAGAGCCCACTCCTATCAAATACAAAGGAAAGCATCTCAGCCAGGGTTGGTCTGGGAAGGAAAAGGTACCTTGGTAACATTACTAAAGGACCATCTCTTATCACCCTAATAAGCGTTACAGTGGCCGATAGAAAAATCAAACTGGGACCTTCTAACCAGCCGTCGGAAGGGCTGCACAGGTTTCCCTAACTTTCAGACCAATTTGCACGGGGAGGTAGGAGAAATTAGACCACATATTAACAATAATCATAATAGCAGTAACACCAATGCCTTAAACATAAAAATAACTGTTATTTGCATAGTACTTATAACTTTTTATTTGGAAACATTTCCAACAAATTACTTTTGTTTTGATTAGCTCAAAGATCTTTCTACAAGACTGGAGGTAGCTAAGGCAGGCAATTCTCAATTCTAGTTTCCTCTGCAGGCAACACAAACTTGGCAAGCTAGCGCCATCTCCTGGGTAAAGCCTGCCCCTGCCCCCGGAGCAGCTCCGGCACATACATGTTCTTCTCTCAGGACGTAGCCCCCCACAGTGACAATCTGCATTCTCGGAGGTTTGTGCATACGGGATGGTAAGCAGAAAATGATGTGCAAACAGTAATTAATATCTGCTGAGTCTTTTTCTACAGACCAAGCGCTATTCAGGCAAAATGTTTTATAAATGAGGACACTAAAGGTTACAGAAGTCTCTTGCCAGGGAAACTTAACTAAAAAGGAACACTGTGCTGAGGTGTGGCTATTAGTTGGTCTATAAGTTCACCATCTGGCCTGCTCCAAAAACTACTGTCAACACATCATAAGTCTTTGGGGTCTTCGTGAACAGCAAGAGGCACTAAACAAGGAGCACCTTCTAAAATATACTGAGCACAGCACCAGCCTCTCTTCTCAATCAAGTCCAGGACAATCCTGAGCAGCACAAGAAGAGGAAGTGGAAATAGACATCCGACTGAAAACCAAAGCCGACTCACTGCCATCGAGTCCATGCTGACTCACTGCGACCCGAGAGAGCAGGGTAGAACTGCCCCTGGGAGTTCCTGACTCTAACTCTTTACAGGAGTAGAAAGTCCTAGCTTTCTCCTGCAGAGTGGTTGGTAGTTTTGAACTGCAGACCTTGGGTTAGAAGCCCAATGGGTAACTACTACCCCACCAGAGCTCCTTCTAAGACTAAAGGTAGCCTAAAAGAAAATCTCTCCCCTCACCAGGAAGAAAAAAGTCACTGCAAAATGGAACCTACCAGCAAGCGGTGGCCAGCATCTTAGAATTGGGACTAAAGTGACAGTAGGAGATAGGCCGATCGTCACCAATCTGACTGCAGAAGTTGTTCAAAGACTGAAAAAGAAAACAAAATAGCAATCACTACTCATGGGCTAATACAAGAGTTCTTCGGCGTTCCTATCTTTGTAGGTGTAGGGAGTTATCTCATGCAGTTCTGCTAGCCAAAGTCTCTGGAGGGCCCCCAAGCGACCTTTTCCAGGATGGGTATGGATAAGGAGGTGGGGAAGGCGCTGATAAGATTCACCCCAGAGGAACTGTTCATAGGATCCACTGGGATTGCCACCCTGCTGGGTATAAATAAAACAAGCACTCTGAGAAGCAGCAGGGAGATGCCATACCAGCAACAACCAGGAGTGGAGCGTGTCTTTCTACACCTGAGATCCTTGCGCAGAAGACAGCTATACCATCAGAGCAGCAGCAGAACCGGAGCCAGAGCTGGGGACTTCCCAGCACACCCGGCAAGTAAAGCAGAGTGCTTGGGAGCAGGAGGCTGGCTTGTGAAGAGCCTCTGGACACTCAGTTGGGGGAGCTGCTTGCTAGCCCACAGAGCTGGAGCTGAGTGCCCTGTTTATGCTTCGACCAGAGTGGCTCCCCTGCCATCCCCACCCCCAGCATTATTAGCAGCACTGTCCTGCAATGTGTCCTGACAAGTAACTCTCGCCTGAGCATTTCCACCTGAATTGTATCCTGTTAACGCCCACAGTAAACCTGTCATCCTGAGCATTGTCTTTGAGTTGTATGGGCATTACAAGGAAGCGCGGGGAGAGCCCATGCACAGCTCTCCTTGACCACATGGAGTCAGCCCGGGCAGCACTTGACACCACCGCAACAGAGCGTGTCGCTGTCACCCTTCTCGAGGTGGCCCACGGAGAAGCTGGAACCAACACTGAGGATCGGTACACTGTCGGCACACTGGGTAACTGTCTTACCCGAAGAGATTTGTGCAGCTCTTGCATCTGAGAGGTCCTCGTTGTCTCCGGTATTTCCTTGTGGAGACGAGCCTCTTCCAGGCGTTTCATTGCCCTGTGACACACACCACGTCAGCACGAGGTGCGTTGTCAACAAGCGTCCACAGTCCTAACTCCACCCCAAATAGATCGTCACCCGAGAGGACACGTACACTTGGAGCCTTTTACTCCAGGCTCCCTTTACCTGGGCAGTGAGTAATTGGCAATCCAGAGCCTGGCGATCTTTAGGCTATTTGGCCCTTCATGGTACCAGGTCTGCTGATACTGCAAAGCAAATGGAGAACAGATGAAGGATGAACACCCCCCCCACCCCCCACCCCCCCGCGTCACTTCATTGCAACTGCCCAGGAAGAAGGAAGGGGGTGAGTGCCATCGCAGACTGGATGCATACGAGCAGAGCGTTTCCACCACGTCTCGCTGCTGGTTAAAGCTCATGGTGAGAGCACCATGGCTCCTTCTTCAGTGGAAAACTCCTTTGTCTCCCTGTCTCCACAGATAGGGCAAAAGACTGCTCATGACTAATCCTGAAGGAGGCTCCAAAGGCACTTCCCTCTACCCTCCAGCAAAGCCAACCATGGTGGGGGGTGGGGGGGCATTTCCCCCTTTCCTTCATGTTTATGGTGTAAAAACCATGGGCATAGTTTACCTCTTCTTTGGACTTCTTAGATTTTTCATCATCTTTTTTGGTCTTTTTTAAGGCATCAGTACCAACCACTGACAGGATATTTCTTAATCTGTAACAAGACAGATGAGAATTTAAACAGTCAGATAAGACGTGAGAATATCTGTGAGGAAATAGCAAGCCTCCCCTCCTCCCTCACGTCCAGCCCTATAGCATCCTTCTTTAAGAGTCCAGGGGTCATGCCTAAACGTCTTCCACTCCGTCCCATTTGAAGGTTCCCCCAATACAAACATAAGCAATTACCCTCTTCAGCTTAGAGTGAACTAACCCCTATGCTGGTACCACTTGGCCTGTAAAGACAGCCAACTTCACGCAATGCCATCATATGTCAGACACTCACAAAGGTGCTCAATACACAATGACACTGGTAGCAGAAGGCATTAGTCCTTGATTTCACCGTTTGGGGGTAGGACAGGAAATAATAGTGGTGGAGCAGAAGTGAATCTCTTCAAAGTCGAGACTTAATGACTGGCTGAGACGAGTGGGCTCACTCTTAGACTAGTGCCTTGAGATTCACTTAACCCTTGAACTGGAGCTGTATTCTGTGGGCACCTTTTAGCTAAATAACAGAATGGCTCGTAAAATAAGCATCGCTCCTGAGTACTGTGTGCCTTTTAAAAAATGGTCTTTATTACTCTAAAGCAGGGGTGGCAAACTGGTGCCCCGCAGGCCGCATGCGGCCCCTGAGGTAATTTTTTGTGGCCCACGATGCTCTGAAATAAAATGTAACAAGGGAATTGTGTGTACGGTATTGCCTCGATCTCCCCTAAGTGCTATTTTCTTCATAACATTTTTTTCTATTTTAATTTTATTTCAGAGCATCGTGGGCCACAAAAAAATTACCTCAGGGGCTGCATGCGAGCCGTGAGCCACCAGTTTGACACCCTTGCTCTAAAAGAATGAGGAGAAAGCAAGGAAACTAGACACTTAAACCAGAAAGAATGAAAATGTTGACACCTTGTAACAAAAATGTAACCAAGGTCACTGAGCGGTATATGTAGACACATTATTTAAGAAGAAGAGAACATTGTAGGGAAACGCTTCCAGAGGAGGCACTATCTACAGTGGGCCCTACATTAGTCAGATCAAGGGGCTGGCAATGAGAAAGGAAGGGCAGTCTAGGCAATGTAAACACCTGCAGGTAGTTGAGGATGGGGTAGAATAAGCAGTGTACTCGCGGGGAGAAGGCAGAAAACGTGGCCAGCCACAAAGGGCTCCTCAGGCCACACTATGGAAGTTTATATCTGAGAGATAGTCAATGGGTTTAAGAGGCATGGAAAAGGTCGCAGAAACCTCTAGAGTCTACTGGTTAGACTTCAATGAAGATGGTGGCTGTGGGATTGGGGGTTCACCCAAGATGACCTGTTTTACTGGAGACAATTATGATGGGGCTGACTTAAAAAAAAAGTTTAACTTGGGCGGAGGTTTACATTTCAGACTGCTAACTTTATATTCCATGGTCTACACTACTAATCAAACACTCATCAGATTATTCCTCCCTGGTTCCTTAATCTTACAGGGGCTAGGGATTTGGAAGGAGCCCTGGTGGCATGGTGGCTATGCCTGGGGTTCTGATCTCTAAGGCCAGCACTTCAAAACCACCAGTCTCCCCTCAGGAGAAAGATGGGGCTTTCTCCTCCCGTAGAGAGGGACAGTCTTGGAAACTCACAGGATCAATTCTACCCCATCCTATACGGTCACTCTTAAGTTGGCATTGACTCGTGAGCTTGGTTAGAAGGGTTTGGAAACATTTCTTTGAGGAGGTGACATTTATGCTAAAATCAAAAGAATGAAAACACTTTAAGACAAGAAGGGAATCAGAAAGAAATGAGCGAAGAAACAGGAATGAGCTTGCGTACTCGCGGAAGACAATCGTGCCAGTGTCTGGGGGAAGAGTGGCAGAGAAAAATGAAGCTGGAGCCCTTGTAGACCATCGTGTGGAGTTACAGTCATGGGAAGACACCGAAGGATTTTAAGCCAATGAGTCACACAGCAAATACGGGGCTGTTACAACAGTCTAGGCGTGAAAGCAATAGTGGAAGAGAAACAGAGGCTGGAGATACACCTCTGAAGGAGAACAGACTAAATTCTGGTCGATCACAATGGAAAACAGGATGACTTCCGGCCGAGAACTACTGAATGGTAGGGATGCTAGACTAGCATGGAGGGGACCAGAGGCGTTTAACTTAGATATGTCCAGTTTCAGGTGCTTTGGAGAACCTGTTGAGGGTCATCAGAATATACATAGTAAACGAAGCCACGGGGGTGCGGGATCTGACTGCCCGGAGAGCACAGGATGAATGAGGGCAATGAATCACAACATAGAGAGAGGCCTACAAAGCAAGAGAAGAACGAGCCCGAGATGGAGGGCGATCGGGAAGATGTAGCCTGATGAGTCGGGAAGAGGGTTCTAAGGGGGAAGTGGCTGAACCGCTGTATCTAGTAAAGATGGGCTGGTGAGCTCGACACACAGCAGTTTCAGGATGATGAGCAACTCAGCAAGCAAACATCACCACACGCCCCCGTCTGCAGTGGGCTGCAGAGTAAAGAGGGGCCGAAACTGTGAGAGTACATGTAAAAAAACCCTTGAAGAAAATGAAGGGGAGTTGTGGGGCAGTGGTGATGGGTGTGGATACGGGAGAGGGTGCTTCTCCCAAACCATTTATAAGCATTATCTCAAACCGTTTACAAGGAATACAGGTGATGCCTACATTCTCCGAGCTCAACCACAAATGCTCACTCAACTCCCAGCTGCGGCGTGTGGAGGTTACCACCCTCTTCAGAGTTTGTGAAGAGAAACGGTCGGCATAATTCTTGGGCTAAGGCCCAGATTATGGGCTAACCAACATAAACAGGTCAACACTATCTGAGGCAGTCTTGTTAAGTGTTGGCTGTGTTGACCAACAAATCTATCATCAGGACCGTAGGAAAACAACAACAAAAAGGTAAAAAGTAAGTAGTTAGGAAGGCACCGTTCTCTTCTCTCCGCGGGGCCCTCTCCAAATAGCGTGATGGGTTCCCCCAGGGCTCTGAGGCAAGCCTTGACCTCCGAGTCATCCGTGGAAACGTTGATTTGCCGGGCTCGCTTCCTTCTCTCAAACTCCGCCAAGACTTCCGCCTGCCTCTCGCTGATGTGCTCTTCAATTTCAAACACTTCTCCTAGAAAGCAACAGGCAACAACAGGCATGATCACCAGGTCTTCAGACAAAGGACCCTTTCTTACAACGGCTGGTCTAGTATGCATTTTATAGACAGAGCCCACTGTTCGCAGTTGTGTCAATTAAGCCAAACACACAAAATTCAAGTACAGCTTTAAAAGGCAGGAAAACAGTTCCCACCATTTTGGCAACTTCTCATCTAATGTAACATCGCTTTGAAGGGATTAGAGCCCAGAACATCCTTAGCAAAGTAGGTACTAAGCCTTGTATTCAGGAAATAAAATAGAAACATTATTTTAACAGTTGCTAATGCTACTCTCTCAAACAGTCCCAGGATAGGGACTCTTTCAAATCTAATTAGTAAACTGGAACCAATTACCATGAAGATAAGATTCCCATGACGACAAAAGCTTTTTTAAAATATTATATTATATTATAAAAAGCTTTTTATAAATCTTTTTATAATATCATAATTGGGTTTAAAACCCAAACCAACTACGAGAATTTGGATGGAAAATCAGAAAAAAAAACAAAAAAACCCAAAAAACCAGAATAAACTCATGACGTCATTACGTTTAAAAACAATCCAAAAGGTTAAGAGGCTTTCTACAGTGTCTTCATTTTATATTCCTCTGTATCATTCAAAGCTATAACACGTATAATGCACATGTGCATATAAATCATACAACACACAGAAAACTAAAACAAGGGGGTTGTGTGACTTGCAAAAAAAGATGCAACGTGCACATTATTTGCATGGAAATATTTTTTTAAAATATGGCCAACTCCTAGTTATTGACAAGAAAAGGCCATCTCTCAAAAGTATGCAGATTGAAAAATGTAGATTGTAAAGCAATTTATATACCATGGTTTCATTTATGGGGGAAAATTGTGTTTCTATAGCTGTATTAAATTTCTCAAGAGTTTTCAACAGCTCAATTTTGGGGGGGGAAACAGATTGCCAGATTTTCCTTCTTATAGTGTCTCAGTGGATATACACCCAATCAATAAAGATGACAGAATTTTCTACTTCACATATTTCTACATTTCTTACTTTACAAAATATAGGAGCAGCTATTAGTTTTCTACTTCAAAAATCTAGATTTCAAACCTCCCCTCAATTTACAATTAGAAAGTTTTTTTAAAAGGGTGAAAAAAATGGCTGGGAAACGGAATAAGGGAGACCATCATGTGCCACTGGAGTCGTAACCGATGTCAGAAGTAGGCGAGTTCTCCAGACGGCACCAAGACTCCATCTGAGCTCAAATACACACTTGAGTTAATTCCTGGCACAAAGCCTGCTAATTCAAAAAAGAAAAATCTGTATTAAAAATGGTTTAAAAAACAAACAAACGCTCCCTGAATGATACTATGGGTGGGGACACAACATATACAGGAGTCTGTCACTGAAGCAATGAAAGCTTTTCACGCTAAACTAGTGATATCTAAGTCCAGGAAGGTGTGCACTGCAGAAAACCTGAGCATCAAGGGACGATTCAGCTTGCATCTTACCAGAGGTTATGTTAATATTTCCTGCTTCGATTCCTGCTTTAAGTCCTTCTTTTCCCAAAATTCCAGACTCTCCTTTGGCCAGCCGCTCCCTCTCCTTCTCTTCCAAACTTCCATAATAGATGTGAGGTTTCTTCACAAGGGGAGCAACTAAGTCATCAGGTGCCTTAGAAGGTTTGGTTGCCTGCTAAATCAAATAACAGATTAATCTAGCAAGGCTTAAGCTTAGAATTGACTGAGTTTTCTCAAGTTCACCCTGAGCTTCAATCCCTAAATGAAAGCAGATGCCAGACCAGACGGACACTAGTGTTTCCCCTGATTTGAAGGCTGTCTCAGTCCCTCAATCACTAAGTTTTGCAGACAAGAAGCAGAAGGTCGACAAAACTGGTGAATGTATGTGTCTTGGCGATTGTTCTTTCGATGCTTTAAGACCTGTTTATTTAGGTTGGAAGCGCAGTCTTCCTTGGTTTTTAGGAGGCTTCTATGACTATTACTCATCACGGGGGAAATACCAAGGGTTTGGCTGAAATCTTTTGAATGAAAGCGCCAACCCGGTGCCAACGGGCAACAAAGTTAAGTTTCTGTTCTATGTATTTCACAGAGTCTCAGACGTGACACACATCATGGGGGTTAAGAGGCCTCATTTAGAAGTGCGAGGTCTGGCATGGACTGACCAAGACACACACTTCTCTCTCTCTCTGGTCTACGTTTCTGGATCAGTCGGAGGAGGTGTGGACTGTTCAGCGGTGTGGTGAGCGAGGTGCACGTGAACTAAAGCATGGGGTAGCGCTCAAGAACCAGGAAAAGGCTGCTCTGCTCTATGGGAGAAGGCGTCCCGCAGCCTCCCGCATCAGCCCGCCACCGCCCCAGCCCGTTTTCCTACAGCCCCATCCTGCAGAAATCACTCCGCGCTTCCCGCCAGCGCGAGCGGAGAGAGCGCGCTCTGTACCGTGGAGGACGGTCGTGAGGAGGCCATGCTGGGCTCTGGAGCCGCGGAAACCGAGCTCCACGTCCAGAACGTCTACCGCGCGCCCGGCAAAGCGGAACTGCGTCACCGACCGGAACTGGACCGAGAACCGCCACCGCATCCGGGGTGGCGCGGGGCATGATGGGACTCGTAGTCCGAGCGCGTCTCGTCGCGTCGGGAGCCTTGGAAACCAGCGTCCGCGGGGTGAGAGGCTCAGGGCATTCTGGGAAGTGTAGTCCACTCGGTGTAGCGGTGGACTCGTGATGGACGCCGAGGTTCCGGGAAGGGGCTGAGCTGAACAGGCTTTTAAAGGAGGTAGGTGTGTGGCCTCTGGAGCTGACGGAGGGCTTGGGGGTCTTCAGTCGCTCCTGGGCCTGCCGGGGGTTTTACGTTGTCCTGGAGCGGGCGGGGGGCGGGGTGGTGGGGCCTCGGAAACTCGCCCAGGACCCACGATTGCCCCCCGGGCTCAGAGAGTTGTTCCTGCGGTCGGGAAGCCTGCGAGATCGATCCTAGTTGGTGGATTTGGGCCGCTCGAAGAGCCCTCTAGCGCCGAAGTAAAATGAAGACGTGGCGGAGGAACGGTGGCTGGACGTGGGTGATAGTCCTCAGCCCGCTCTTTCTTCGGATTCGCAGATGATGGCCATGAAGGCTGCAACCCGCCAGACAGCCCCGCTTTCCGCGGCGGGCGGAGCGACACCAAACTAGGGTTCCCCCCAAGTGCGGGGGGGGCTCAAAGCACTGATGTTCCCGGATATGGAGGTCATGCTGACTTCTGGCTACCCAGTGTGTGTCTGAGCAGAACTGTGCTTAAATATATCTATATCTATTTACCTACAGATATTGATAGATATATAATATTTAACCATTTTATTGGCATATAATTCGCATATCATGCAGTCTACTAGTTCGCATCAAGACTTGTACAATCATGACCACAATCAGTTTTAAAACATTTTCTTCATTCTTGTACTCATCGTTATTAGCTCCCCATTTCCCCCAAGCTCCCCTGCCACACTGGCAAGGAACTATGAATCCAGTTACGATGTCTCGGATTGACCTGACTGGCTCTCGTGACAAGAGTAGAAGGCCTCTACTTCCTCCTGCAGAAGGGCTGGTGTTTCCAGTGGCTGACCACTGTGCCACCAGGACTCTTTAAGGGGCAAGAAGTCCCATGGAAGGCTCCGGCCCTTTAGGAAGACTTTCTCTGTCACCTCTGAGGGTAGGCCCTCGTCTCCTTTCAACACCCGTGGGTCACTTGGAGATATCCATGTATCTGTCTGTTTGCTAAATACTACCCAACACATGCTGTTCTTTTTTCTTTTAAATGGTAAGGATAAACTAATATTAATATAAAGATAAAAATACAAATAATGAATAAGAAAGAAAAGACCACCATCGATATTTTAAAAGCCAGGGAAGATATTTTTGTCATGGATTTGTCATGGAACAGCAAGAAATACCTGAAGTTAGACAAAATTTATGTTGCGTCTAGAGCAGTGGTTCTCAACCTGTGGGTCTCAGCCTCTTTGGGGGTCACGACCCCCTTGGGGGTCAAATGACCCTTTCACAAGGGTCGCCTAAGACCATCGGAAAACACATAGATATTTCACAATATATAATTACATGTTGTTTTGTGATTAATCACTATGCTTTAATTATGTTCACTTTGTAACAACGAAAGTACATCCTGCCTATTAGATATTTACATTATGATTCATAACAGTAGCAAAATTGCAGTTATGAAGTAGCAACGAAAATAATTTTATGGTTGGGGGTCACCACAACACGAGGAGCTGTATTAAAGGGTCGAAGCATTAGGAAGGTTGAGAACCACTGGCCTAGAGGGAGTTCACTGATCAGGTATCACGTTTACAGTGCTGTCTGATGGTAAAGCTGTTTGAGGCCCTGGCCTGTGGCCAGAGGGATCTGCCAAGGCTTGATCTGACTAGACACACTGCAGATGGGTTTTGGGCTCCCACTGCTCTCCATAGCCTTCTACAAATTGGGGGTTCACAATTTAAGCTCTGATACTTTTCCCTTCGTCATATTTGGGCTTTGTTGTTGTCATCTTTGGGTCACATTGGCTGGTGTGCTTCTTCCGTGTGGACTTAGTTGACTCCTCACTCAGATGGCTGCTTGTTTGAATACAAGCTTTTAAGACCCCCAGACACTATTTCGATTGATAGCTGGGCACCATCTGCTTTAGCACCTTTTGCTGTAGCACCCTTATCTTCAGTGATCATTTCATGAAGATGAATATCGAGTAGGGCCATGTTGTCAGAACTTACTGTTTCTGGATTGGGGGTGGAGTTCATTGTGGCCCAGAATCCAGCTGTTTGTCTCTGGGATCTGCACAACTCAGGTTTACTTTGGTGGTCATATTATGACAAAAACAAAACCCCATAAGACTTACTATACCAACAACAGCAACAAACCAACCAGCAAACAAAGAAACAAAAAACAAAAGCAAACAAAAAGCAGGAAAATAAAAACCCATAGAAACAAAAAAAGAAAAAATATTGTCAGTCACTCCCCTGGTGTATCAGGCGATTGCATTGATAAGATCAACCTTTTTCCCAGTAGCATAGCACTCCAGACACTGGGTCTGAGGAGTCTATGCTAGTAAGGGACCACCAGAGCCACACCCCAGGAGTTGTTGCCCTGCACGGTTCCATCTCCCTGTTGACCCTAAGCATGGGGATTGATGCCAGGGAGAACCTTCTGGATCAGTTCTTCCAAGGGCAGATCCCTGCCTAACAGATCAAAACCTGGCATATCAATACAGGGAGACATCAAAGTACTAAATACATGGTGATTCTGGGTCCCTTTCCACTGGACACCCACCAAGCCAGGGGTTCCCCTTCAAGGACCAGTGGCCGCCACTTCCACAGCCCCACACACTGCGGTCCCACACCATCACCATTGTTGCTACGTTTGAGCCCTTGGTTGCAGCCACTATGCCATTCCCATTTGCCAACTACCAAGCATGAGGGTCCGTCGTGATGTAGCCTACACCATCCTCACTTCTAAGGAGTTGTACTTCTTCCAAGACAGATTTATTAAATAAAACTTCCGAGTGCCGAGTTTTTACAGGAGAAAACGTAGCCTTTCCTTCCTCCTGCCTTGGGCTTCCTGTGGCTCTTTGATTTCTTTCACCTTGTGTTTAAATCCAACCTGGCTGAAGAATATCCCTGATTTAGTAGAACGCCATTTGAAAGGTACTGGGCCAGTGCTTTGCGTTGGTAATATCAGCTCCAAGCTTCTCAGGCAGAGAAAACACGTATTTAAGGTTTGCATCAGTCCAAGTTCCTAGTTGCAAAAAAAAGGTTGTATCTGCACTTGGAAAGGGTTTTGGTTAGTCACTGTCCCTCACTGCTCAGCCTGTGGCATTAGTATAAGATTTCCAGAAGGATGGGAGGGGAAGACGTAGCGCAGACCTCAAGAAGAGTTCATCTCACTTTGTCTGCTTGGATTTCTCGTTTTATCCAGCAAACAGTTATTAACTACTTCATACAGATCCAAGGAACCCTGGTAGCTAGCCTCAAGGTCAGCCTTTCAAACCCACTCGACACTCCACAGGAGAGAAACGAGGCTCTCTGCTCCCATAAAGATTTGGAGTCTTAGAATCCTAGGGAGCAGTTCTGAGCTGCCCTGTAGGGTGGATCTGAGTCTACAGTAGGGTTTCTTGTTTGCTACAGATACATTCTACTGGATGCTATGGAGTCTACAGATGGTGCCATCGACAGATGTGAAACTCAGTTGTGGGCTTTTTGTTTGTTTGTTTACACAAGTATTACCTTGAGTGCTTAGACAGTGCTCTCTCGTACTGTATCTTCTTTCCTCACCCCCTCTCTGCCCTCCTGAACTGAACTAAGACCTCATTTCTTCTAGGAAGCCTTCCTGACATCTGGGCTCACCCCGCCTCCACCCCAGACTGGATTATGTGCCTCTGAGAAGACGTCATTCCCTGAGCCCATCAGAGTGCTGGCTGTTCTGCACGGTAATTCCCTCTTCTCTTGTCTCGTTTCCCACAGGCTGTGCCCTTCAGCTCTGTAGCGGGAGCTCACAGTGTTTGCTGAATAAATGACTTAGCCATTTAGACCCCGAGGCAAAACAAACACCTCTGCGAACTGGTGAGTTCCACGGAGTTGTCACAAGATTTAGCAAAATTTAGCTTTTGGGAGCGACCAGGAATCTGACAGTTTTCCTGCCCAGTGGATTACATTTAATGGCCTTTCACTTCCACTGAGGACACTAAATTAAGATGTGCTATTTTAATGCTCTTTTCTCCTCTAGAATATTTCTTTGAATGTGACTGGAGCAGGAAATGAATGTAATGGCTCCTCTAATGATCTCTTATAGGTAGCTTGTTCTTTAAATTCTGCTTTTGTGACAGTCTTTTGGACGTAGCGTCCGCACACCACAACTCCATGGTGCAGTCGTCACCACAGTCCCCTTTAAAACACTTTCTTCATGTTTGTGCTCAGTATTGTTCGCTCCCTACTCCCCCAAGAACGCCCCTGCCACAATCCTAGGAAACTGTTAGTCTAGTTACTTTCTTTATATATTTGCCTATCCTGGGTTTCATGAAAAAGGAAATTGCTGTTTCAAGTTCTTGACGGGAGAGCTTTTGGGATTCCAGTTGTGGGTCTCTGTCATGTAACACCGCTGTAATACGCATCCACTGAGAATCTTAGAAGTTTATGTGTGAAACCAAATGAGTTTAATGAATTAATTAACCCAGATGAATCCACTTTGGCATTCATGTGTGTAGGCAAGATTCATGCGCTCCAGATTTTTCCTTTTTGCTATTTTTACCAGCTCACGGTTCCAGCCTGTGGCGTTGGTTTCGTGATGCTGCGACGAAAGCCCACCCGACTGGAGCTGAAGCTTGATGACATCGAGGAGTTTGAGAGCCTCAGGAAGGACCTGGAGGTAGGAGCGCCACCGTGAGACCCTCAGGAACAGCTGACACAGCAGCTCTCACTTGGGAACCCCGCCCGGCGCCCATACAAACAGCCTGTTTGGAATCTGCATTTGCTTGTTTTGCAGGCATCTTAAACTTAGCCTCTTCATTTCCTGTGGCTGCCAGAACAAATTACCACAGACTTGGCAGCTGAAAACAGCAGGAATTATTCTCTCACAGTTGTGGAAGTAAGAGGACTGGCATCTACTTGACTAGAGCAGACTCAAGTTCTGGCGGAAGGGCCAGGCTCCCTCAGGAAGCGCTAGGACAGGAGACGTTCCTTGGAGTACCCAGCACGTAGTGGCTGCTGTCACCCTGGATTTAGGGCCTCAGCGCTCCGACCTCTGCTTCTAGGGTGACCCTGCCTCCTCCTCTTGTCTGTGGTATCTCCCTCTGTCTCCTTGTAAGGTTACACCGGATTGCATATAGTGCCACCCAGATAATCCAGGATAATCTCCCTGTTGCAAGATCCTTAACTTAATCACATCTGCCAAGACCTTTTTCTCATATGAAGTTCCAAGGATTAGGACTTTAGCTGTTTGGGGCCATTTCTCAGTCTCTGTACTTATCACATCTGAAAACAAACTCCTGATTCTCCTTCACACCAGTTTCTCCCTGAGAGTTCCCCAGCTCCATAGACGGGGCCACCATCTATTTGGAAACTTGGGAGTCCCTCGTGAGCGCCCCCTTTCCCTCACCCCTTTGATTCTTCCTGCAGAATATGTTTAGGATCCACTCGGACCTTTTTACCTCCACAGTTCCAAACCAAGGTCGGGTCACCATCATCTGTCTCTGTATAATTTCAGTCTCTTAAATGGCCTTCTGCTTCCATGTTCGTCTCTTCAACCCATCACAGTGATCTTTAAAGTATTTTAGATAGTGGCATTCCCCATGCACTTAGAATAAAATCCGAATTCCTTCTCCGAGTCTGTAAGACTGCATATTCTGCCCGCCCCTCCCTGTGTCACTTCCCATCCTGCTTCTGCCTTGCGCTCTGCTCCCCAGGCACACTGATGTCCTTTCATCTGTCACACGCCGGCTCTCACCTGGTGGCTTTTGTACGGACTGTTTCCTCATGCCTTCGTGTAAATGCCTTCTGGGTCGAGAGCCTCTGTCGACCCTTTCCCAGTTAGTGTGCTGTTCTTACCCACCCGGCCCCCATCCCATTACAGAAAACCCCGCAACCCAGACTCACTGCCACACGTCGGTTCTAACCATAGCGGCTCTATTCGACTCCCACAAAGCACCTTCTTCTTTCAGCTCATCGTTCTTGTGCTTTTCAGCTACCTATTTGGTTACTGTACGACCATTGATAGATTAAACTTAGATTGCCGGGATCCTCTATGTCTGTCTGTTCCTCCACTAGCCTCTTCGCATTAGCATAGAATAGGAACTCAATATATGTCGAAGTGTGGTTAACCTGACAGTATTAGATGTCTGTTCATAGGCTTAGACTCCTCAGTGGTCTTCTAGCGTGACATCGGAGGCCTTTTGTGAAGGGGTCCCTGCTCTCCCACTGCCAGCCTTTCATCTGTTCTCCCTTTTGAGCGTGAGTTAGTGACGGTCTGCAGAGCAGGTCAGGTTTCATCGAACAGTGCGCGCGCATTTGGTTTCCTCTCCTGGACTGCAGTCCCCACAGTCTAACGAGCATGTATCCCCTTCCTCCCCGTGTGTCTCCTTTCCTAGGCTTTCTGAACTTTGTCCCTGGGGAAATGCTGCCCTTTTGACCGCAAACGGTTGATTAGTCTGAGGTGTGTGTGTGTGTGAACTCCTATTTGTTTTTGAAACTCAGCTGCTTCCAGAAGTCTTCCATGCCCCTTGACCCCTAGCTGGACTAGGCTTAGCCTCAACACGCACCCCACCCCCGATACACAACTCGACACATAGGTCCTATCAGTGCTTGTTGTAACACCTTGTGTCTTGGTTCCCCCCCAGTAGAACAAGTTCCCGGAAGGAGGAAATGGTGTGTCCACCTCTGTGCCTGTTGCGCACAGGAGGGGCTCAGGTGGAGACTACTGTCATTTGCTGCCCTTGGGGACCTTTCCTGTCCATGGCAGAGAACACTAGCTTACATGCATCCACAGACACATGGCTTTACTATATACTGTGCTTCTTATTAAGATACCCTGTTTCTCTCCTCCCCTTCCTCACCCCAGCAGACTCGAGTCATGTATGTTTGCTGTTGTTTTCCCCTTCTTCTTTAAGGATGAGCTTTGAATGCTTGGTTTCAACATCAGTTGGAATGAGCCTCATAAAATGCTAGTATATCGAACTTCGCTCTGCAGCGTCAGCTCACCATCGAGTCAGTCTTTCATGAAGTCCAGTTATCCAATGGGCTTGACCTGTTACAGAGGAACTTATGAGGAAAAGACAGGCTTGCCTGGCACTGAAATGAAACCAGTTAAAAAGCTGGTATTTTTTTTTAAACATTTTATTAAGGGCTCATACAACTGTTATTGCAATCCATACACACATCAATTGTGTAAAGCGCATTTGTACATCATTCTCAAAACATTTTCTCTCCACTTAAACCCCCCACATTAGGTCCTCATTTTCCCCTCCCTCCCCATTCCCCCCTCCCTCGTGAGCCCTTGATAGTTTATAAATTGGTATTTTGTCATATCTTGCCATGTCCGACGTCTCCCTTCACCCACTTTTCGGTTGTCTGTCCCCAAGGGAGGAGGTCACATATAGTTCCTTGTAATCGGTTCCCTCTTTCCTACCCATTCTCCCTTTACCCTCCCTGTTTCGCCACTCACACCACTGGTCCTGTAGGGCTCATCCGCCCTGGATTCCCTGTATTTTCAGTTCCTGTCAGTACCAGTGTACCTCCTCTGGTCTAGCCAGTCTTGCAAGGTCGAATTCGAGTCATGGTAGTGGGAGCAGGGAGGAAAAAAAGCTGGTATTTTATGAGTGAAACTCATCTGAATACACTCCTGTGACTCTCTCTAAGGTGCCTGGGTAGTGTAGTGATTACATGTTGGGCTGCTAACCATTAGGTCAGCAGTTTGAAACCACGAGCCACTCCGAGGGAGAAGGGACTTTCCACTCCCATAAAAAGTGACAGTCTCAGAAACCCACAGAGGCAGTTAGTCCTGCCCTGTCCTATGGTTCACTCTGAGTCAGAGCGGCTTGATGGCATTGCGTTTGATCTGTCATGACTCTAGATGCTAACAGTCAGCAGTTCACAGGGCAAGCCTTTTCCATGGTTTCGTCCCAGTTGGATGTTCTGTTGGATGTTGTAAAATGATAGAGTTCTTAGCCTTTTAGAACCTGGTTTCACAGAGTTGTTTGGGCAGAAATTTTGCAAAATTATTGTTAGTGTAGTTACGCTCCAGCTTAGGAAGGTCATGCTGCTTATCCCACGTAACCCCTTGATGTTGTTCGTGGAGCAGTCACAGCTCAGCACTAAGTGGGAAGGAAGAGCAGTAATCCAGTGCTTCTGGTGACAGCATCGTTGGCACCGGCAGGGAATGGTAGGTGTATGGGAGGTATGTTCCATTTGGAGATGACCACACACAGAGCTAAACGGTCGTTACTGTAGACTGTAGTGCCCTGTGAGACTGGGCCGTCAGGGAGGGCAGGACTGGTCTGCTCTCTTGACTTTGACTCCCTGAAACCAAGTACTCCCAAGTTCTTGCCCTGTAGATTCTGAGCCTTTCGTACCCTATGCCTAGTAGGTCGGTGCTAGTTCAAAAAATGCTGCCTTCATCTTCATGTGTTTATACTTTCAGACCCGGAAGAAACAAAAGGAAGATGTTGAAATTGTGGGAGGCAGTGATGGAGAAGGGGCCATTGGGCTCAACGTTGACTCCAAAAGCCGAGAACAAATGATCAATGACCGAATTGGTTATAAACCTCAACCAAAGCCCAACAATCGTTCATCTCAGTTTGGGAATTTTGAATTTTAGAAGTAGGCATGAAGTTTGCATGCCAAAGCCTTGGAACGGAGTAAAATGATGGCAGGGGTACAAACAGGATTTAGAACATTGAGTACTTGGTCTACAAAATGCTTGCTGCTTGCAGTGAGGAATGCTTCGGATGGAGTGAGTTTAACTATGCTTAACTTTCACTTGAAGCCCGAATTCAAACGCTGGTTTGTCTCTGGAAAGTTGACTCTGTAAATGATAATCTGTCCGATTTTTTTTTATAATAAATGTATTTTTTAACAATTGAGATATCCTTCATGAGTATAATGGTACAGATTTAAAGAGGCAGTTGCCCTAAGTCAGGTCATCCCGCATCTTCAGCAGTTCACTTTCGAGCCACATCCCTGTAATCCGCTTGGTCAGTCGATGTTTACTGAATGCCTGCTGCGTGCTGGGGACTAGTCTAGGCCCCTGGTAAATATCAGGGAACACAATTGGCAAAGATCCCTGCCCTTATGGAGATTCGATTCTTGTGATTTTTGTGTAAACTCGATCTATAAACATGGGTGTTTATAGCATGGCTTTGTAAGTAGTTTAGGTTTAACTTCGGAAAGACAGGTAATGGCGGAATGATTCTAGCAATATTACTATCATTCCATTTCTCCTTCATTTCCCAACTTGCCTGAGAATCTGTCCCATCAGATATGAGAGGAACCAGCCCAGGGAAGTTTTTAATTCTCAAACAACTACAATTCAGTGCCATCAAGTGGGCTTCTGATTCATAGCAACCCTATAGGAAAGGGTAGGATTCCGTCTCTGTCGGTTTCGGAGATGAGTTTAAAGCCTCACCATGTCCCCCTCAGAGCAGCTGGTGGTCCTGAACTGCTGACTTTTGGAGATTAGCAGCCCAATGTGTAACCCACTATGCCACCTAATTTAAGGGCCTAGGATTTTGACTAATTGAAATAGAGGGAACCACTACTTGTGAGATCAGGAGCTCTTGAACTCATCAGTTCTTACCCTGCCTTCCCAGAGTAGGAATGTGGTAGAGGCAGGGCAAAAGGGGATATACTTTCCCTTCTTGTTCTATCCATGATTCAAAACCTTTATTTGCCCACTTTTATTTCCCTCACTGCCATCCAGTGGACTCCAGCTCAGTGACCAGGGCACTGAGTGAAACTCCCTGTGAGTTCCAAGACCGCAACTCTACCAGAGTGGACAGCCTCATCTTTCTCCTGAGGAGCGACGGTGGCTTGAAACTGCTGACCTCCCTCCCGCCTAGCACCCCAACACCAGGACTCCTCGGTGTTAACGACTAAGACTTTGAATTCTGAATCTAACAGATTTCAGATAGAGAAACCATGATGTCTACAAAAGCCATCCTGCCAGGGCAGAGAAGGAAAACAAGACTGCCTTCACCCTTGTCACCGATTTCACTAGGATGGGGGGCGCTGTGGCTGACACAGCACTTACTGTGTCAGCCTCAGTATTAAGTGCTCTATGTAGATTCTCATTGACTCTCCTATTTTATTGTAGTTTTGCAAAAAGTGCAACCAGCTTAGTTACTAAGTGGACAAGCACAGATTTTACTTAGGCCGTGTGCTTTCTAACCCCCTTTTTATAAAGCTGGCTCCACTGCTTCCCTTTCCTGCTTTTCCACAGCTGGAACTGAGCCTGTGTCAAGGGGAGAGCACGAGGTCTACTTACTTTGTAAAGAGCGAGGCCATCACTAACAGCAGCTTTCGGGGGCACTATTGAAACGACTGACATAAGATTTACCTCAAGATGGGAAGCTTGTCAGGTGCCGGTCAAGAGAGATGCTAACCTTAGCCAGAAAATTGTACCTCTCATCTCCCTGAAAGACAGCACCGCTCGTCAGGAAACAGGATAACTTGGATGCTTATT